GGCACGGAGCGACCAGAGGGACACCTTCACATACGTATTAAACTCAGTTTGAAGAGCCATACACAAGATTTCGACTAATCAACATGAGCATGTTTTGCGAGGGTTACCGAAACATCGAAAATTGAATATCTCGGCAGATTCAATGAGTATTCACAGAATATCCAAAACAGACTGCGTGACCGCTTAAATATTCTCCCAGTCAGCACCGCAATATTTTTAAAACTTTTTAAAAATATTTTTGACATTATTTTGTACTTATTCAAACATTGCCAAAATATTTCCAAAATTGCAACATATTACCTCCATGTAAATATTTTAAAAATATTTTCAAGGAAAATTTTAAAAATATTTTAAAAATATTTAATCGAAAATATTTTACCGGAATGTTTACCTATTTGTATACCATGCGCGCTCTATCAATGATTAATGACACTATTTACTTCTGTGTACTCAGCACACTCTGTCAAGTAGATGTGGAATTACAGGCAAAGATCGTCATTTTCATAGTACTGCACATTTATTACATTTGAAACATGAATTACACTAGTATTGAATATTATAAACCACTTACCTGAATTCCTGCGATGTTTAATAGCGTAAAATACCCGGACGCCTTCGTGCGGACTTGAACCTGGGCCGCGAGTTTGATAACCCAACATTCTGCCACTGAGCCACAGGGAGCTCATGGCGGACCGGGTTAAAATCACGCCTGTTATAGCATGCATTGCGTCAGTGCGCGGCTCGTTCCTGGTATTTGTTTCTTTTCGATCTCACGTAACACGTACCTACACTAAATTTACACTAATGTAAATTACACCTCATAATAACTAAGAATAGGGACTTGAAAATATTTTTAAAATAATTCAAAACAATTTTTTGTAAATATTTTTTTAAAAATACTTTAAAAAATATTTTCAAAACTTTTTTATTAATATTTTAAAAATGTTTACAGACAATATTTTTGAAATATTTTAAAATTATTTTCAAAAAAATATTTTTGAAATATTACTTTAAAAAGTTTGAAATATATCTAAAAATAGTTGAAAAATATTTTTGAAAAATTATTTACGAAACAATTATTTATAAATTAAAAGCATAAAAACAATTTTATAATATTGTCATGTAAATTATTTTTAAAAAATATTTTTAAAAAGTTGTATCAATATTTTTTGTAAGATATTTTCATAGCAATAACGAAAATATTTTTAAAATGTTTTTAAAATATTGCGGACAATCTAGGAGGTATTCATAAAACATCCATGATATTCTATGCTTGGTTATTCTGCGAATATTCAATTTTACCTCAAATACTCATAGAGCGTTCTATTACATTACTAAGCTATCTTCTTTGTAGTGTGACACAGGTGCAAAAGAGAATTTCTCCTAAATGTTTCAGGTAGTTTCGAGACGCAATTCATGCGGATGTTGCAACGGGTAAACGTCACGGTAGAACAAAATGAGCTTCGATTGTTAGACCAGGAGCGACGAGAGCAGACGGAGCTTGAGTGGAAACAGGTGGCGTTGGTAATGGACCGACTCCTTTTGTGGATTTTCATCATCCTTACAGCCATTTCCACCACTGTCATCCTCCGTGGATCCCCATACGGCCCGTGATCTGTCGGTGGCTTTTATATCACGCACGCAGGCTGATTATTTACTTTCATAGATCCTGACCATTGATTTGTAAATTTCATTTATGGCGCATGTATGATCAAACGATTTGTGTTCTATACTGTGATTCTACCCAATGCCCTGCTAAAAATTCCCATGGGAGTGGACAGGGTAGGTATCCCCTGTGCTCCATGGGGAGTGAACAGGGGATCCACTGTGCCCCTGTGGGAGTCTGGGGATCTTCAGTCCCGTCCCTCCGTCCCCGCGCGTCCCGCAGTTTTAAGATTGGGTTGGCGGACCTCCGGCTTCTCGGTTGTTTTTTTATATTAAGTATTTTGTTTATTTTCTGTTTGTTTGTTCATTTGTTTGTTTGTTTGTTTGTTTGTTTGTTTGTTTGTTTGTTTGTATGTATGTATGTGTGTGTGTGTGTGTATGTATGTATGTATGTATGTATGTATGTATGTATGTATGTATGTGTGTGTGTGTGTGTGTATGTATGTATGTATGTATGTATGTATGTATGCATGCATGTATATATGTATGTATGTATGTATGTATGTATGTGTGTGTGTGTGTGTGTGTGTATGTATGTATGTATGTATGTATGTATGTACACATTTTTACTTAATGATGGCTCGCCCACCCACCTCTCCTCTGCCACAGGCTCTTTCTCTGCCATTGATCTCTCTCTCTGCTCTCTTAATGTTGCCCCCACAATAACATGGAGGGTTCATGATGATTTATGTTCATCAGATCATTTTCCCATTTTCATAAAAACAGGTCCTGAGACACCTAGAACCAAGAAGAAAAAATGGGTGGTAAATAAAGCTGATTGGGAATTGTTCAAGAATATGATTAATGTAAACCCTGAGAATAATCAAAGCCCTCAAGATATGCTCTCTCATCTCTCTGATCAAATGCTACACGCTGCTGCCGTCTCCATTCCTCAAACTTCCACAGAAATTTCAAAATTTCCCGTTGCCACACGTATCAAAATTCGAAGTTCCCTCCCTCTTAATATGCACTCTTTGTGTTCAGATAGTCCAATGGTAGTAACAGAAATTTTAAAACTCTTCAAGAAACTAAATTTAAAAATTTAAAATTGCCTAGTCCCCGACGTAAGTAGCCCTAGATGCTGATCGTCGTTAAATAAAATTAACTAATTAACTGTATGTATGGTTGGTTGGTAAATACATTTATTTGGTGCTTTAACATTGAAGCCATTAACACCGTAGATGAGGAGAGATCGTCAAAAAAGCATAATTTAAATATTTAAGAAGTAGGAGTCACAAAAAGGGTAGTAGAAAATTAAAATTTAGGACAAGGAAAGAATGCATTAAATTTGGAGATGGACAAGGAAAGAATACATTAAATTTGGAGATTAATTCGTTTAAAAAAGGGAGGGATTTCATGAAAATACTTTGAAAGGATGGTATGGAGGTCAGAAAGTGGAGGGAAAATTTTGGATCTTAATTGTTGATATGTGGGGCAAGTTATTAAAACATGTTTAACTGAGAGAGGGACATTACAAGAGATGCAGGTCGGGGGTTGGACTTTCTTGATGATGTATTGGTGGGTGAAAGACGTGTGCCCAATGCACAGCCGGGTTAATTTTACTTGATCTGCTCGTGGTAGACCAGAAAGTTGAGGGAATACGGACATTGGAGGATTTCTGTGTTGGCAATACACTGTCCACTCTTGTTGCCAATTTTTGACGATTTCTTTTTTGATGTACTTGTTGAGGTCCTCGGCTATGACAGTTAGGGGGAGGAAGGGGCCAGCAGATGAAGCGGCTTCTCTCGCCAGAGTATCGGCTTCCGTGTTTCCAGCAACGCCTACATGTCCCGGGCACCAGCAGAATGCAATTGAGAAATTCAGGGAGAGAAGATGATGTAGGGAATTTTGGATTTGGATAATGAGTGGATTGGAACCAGGGACAGTTTGGAGGGCAGACAGAACACTCAGTGAGTCAGAGCATATAATGGCTTTTTTATCTTCTGTCTCTTGAAGAAAATTTAATGCTTGGTGTATAGCAAAGGCTTCGGCAGTAAAAATTGAGGCAATGGGAGACAGCTTGAAGGATCTAGACTCATTTTGTGTGATAAAAGCACATCCTGTTTGGCTGTTTTCCAGTTTGGATCCATCGGTGTAAATTTGTTTATAGTCTTGATAATTTTCCAATGTCGAGAAAAAGTTACTTCGTAATTCGGCATGGGATGTATCGGACTTTGATAAAGAGCAGGAGTTGAGGTGAATTTCAATATTAGGAGGGGTCCAGGGAGGAAAATTGAGATTTGCAGCTGGAATAACGTCAGAAAAATTGAACTTAGAAAAGAAGGTATCATAGAATGGGATCTCAGCCCTCGCCTCAAAGCAATCTTCAATAGCAGGATTACTTGGATGGCTCACTAGTTTAGTGACATAGCCTGCCAGTAATTGATATCTTCTGTGTTGAAGTGAGGGCTCTTGTGCTTCAACTTCAATACTAACGACAGGACTTGTCCGATAGGCACCAGTAGCTAGTCTGATGCAAGAGTTATGAATACTGTCTAACTTTTTAAGTAAAGAGCGATTTGCGGAGCCATAAAGAATAGAACCATAATCAAGTTTTGATCGTATAAACGATCTGTAAATTTTAAGCAACGTTGGTTTATCAGCTCCCCACGAAGTGTGAGCTAAATATTTCATAATATTCATTCTTTGTTTGCATTTGGATTCAAGTGCCAATATATGTTCTTTCCATGTTAATTTTCTGTCAAAAATTAAACCAAGGAAGCGAATTGATTCGACGAATTCAAGTTTTGTCCCTCCCATACGCAGAGAAATACGAGGGATTTTGTGTTTCTTAGAAAAGATGATACCCTTACTTTTGATTGGGGAGAAGGTGAACCCTGATTTCTCCGACCAATCTTCTAGGTTTTGAATAACCTTTTGGAGGAGAAGTTTGGCATACTTGACATTTTTAGTTGTGAAATAGATGCAAAAGTCGTCCACGAATAGAGATTTGTGTACATTCTGCGGTAGGCATTGAGTTATATCATTGATAGCTATAAGAAAAAGCAGCACACTCAAGACACTGCCTTGAGGGACCCCATTTTCTTGAGAGGTAGGTTTTGAGAGAACAGAATTGACTTTGACTTGAAATTTCCGATCACGCAGGAAATTTTGAATGAAAAAAGGTAAATTACCACGTAGGCCCCATTTATGTAAAGTTTTCAAAACTTTATGCTTCCATGTAGTGTCGTATGCTTTTTGAATGTCAAACATGAGGGCGACAGTGTATGCTTTTTTGGAAAAACCTTTCAGAATTTGTGACTGTAATCGAATCAGGTTGTCTAAAGTTGAGCGCTTTTTCGAGCACCGCTTTGAATATTAGAGAGGAGAGAATGTTTTTCAATAAACCAAGTGAGACGTTTAGCCACAAGTTGCTCATAGATTTTGCACAGAGTAGAAGTCAGTGAGATTGGTCGAAGTTTTGAAGCATCCAATCTGTTAGTGCTATCTTTTGGTATAGGAATGACTGTAGCCATATGCCATTCTTCTGGGAAATATTGAGACGTCCAATATGAGTTAAACATATCTAGAAGGAAGTGCATCATATTATCAGGAAGATTTTTAATCATCAAATTATGTACTTGATCTGGACCCGGAGCCGATTTTTTAAGTTTTGCAATAACTTGTTTCAGTTCTTTAAAGGAGAAAAGTTTATTATATAGTTCAGAATTAGTTTGAGAGGTAAAATCTGGAACGGAAGTTTCTTCCCTAGACTTAAAATCTAAGAAGCGTTTGGAGTAATTTTCATTGCTTGAATTTTTTTGGAAATTCAAGGCAATAATATCAGCAATGTCTTTGGAATCCGAAAAAATTTTCCGATCATGTATAATGTTCGGAAAATCTAAAGATTGATGATTTCCTGCAATTTTACGAATGTTTTTCCATACCTCTGAGACAGGAGTGTTGGATGTGAGTTGAGATACAAATTTAAACCATGATTTGCGTTTAGCTTCTCTGATTGTTCTTTTGGCAATTGCTCGACTTTTTTTGAAGTTAATCCAATTTTCATCAGTAGGCTCACGTTTAAATAATCTGAAAAGCTTATTTCTTTGAGAAATTACAAGTTGGCAATCATTGTTCCACCAAGGAACTAAGATTCTTTTATTTTTCCCCGCTTTGAAATGGGGGATAGAAAGCGTTGCAGCATGAAAAATTATCTCTTTGAATTTCAAAAGTTTTTCATCTGGATTCTCAGGGAGTTCAGTCACAGAACTGCATATTGAACGAAATTTAGACCAGTCAGCTTGATCTAATTTCCATTTTGTAAATGGGTCATTTGGAACTGATTGCTTAGGATTTAAGAAGGTAGTGATAATTGGAAAGTGATCACTGGAACATAAATCTCCGTGGACAAACCATTGTAATTTGGGCAAAAGATCAAGGGAGCATATCGTTAGATCAATGCTACTAAATGTTTTGGAGGAGTAAGAAAAAAAAGTAGGAATTTGAGAATTTAAGAGCGCCAGTTGATTATTGAAAATAAAATTTTCACAAGCTCTACCATTAGTGTCTAATTTATTTCCTCCCCAAATGGGATTATGAGCATTAAAATCCCCACAAATAATGAATGGAGATGGAAGCTGTGTTTTAATTGAGACGAGTTCGTCTTCAGTTATTTTTTGGCAGTATATGTTGCAAATAGAAATATTCATGTTACTTATGGTTAACTGAATAGCAACTACCTGGTGATTAGACTGGACTGGAATTTGTCGTGGAGAGTGGGAATTTTTGGCAAAAAGAGCAACACCGCCGCAAGCTGATAGGCCTTCTATATAATCCTTTTTGAATAACACATAATTTTTGATTGATGGTTTATGGGAGGGCTTAAATTTGGTTTCCTGAAGTGCGATGACAGATGGATGGATTTGATTTATAAGGAGGTTTAATTCAGCAGTATGGGCATAATACCCATCTGCATTCCATTGCAAAAGGGCCATAATGTTTAACTTTTAGGGGGAGGAGAGGCACAGTTGGAGGAAAAATCAGAAAGCATCTCATCATCAGCAATCTCTAGCTGGCTTTCTTCGGGAAAATCTAAGTTCATCTCAATAGCCTCAATGAGGCGCGAGATCCTTCCCTTTAAATTTCGATTTAATTTCTCAGATTTTATTGTAATTAACACATCACGAAGTTTTTCGAAATCATCGGTGTATACTGAAACAATTTCTAAGGGATTTTTAGAATTTTTAGTTTCAGCAAAAATTTTCTTCAAATCTGATGAAGTAAATTTGACCTCTGAATTGTCTTGCAGTACATTTTTAATGGCAGTGTAGAGGAGTTTATTTTCTTCGTCC